GCCTGCCCCCCTTTGCTACACCTCTGCTGTGCTCCTCCCTCCCCCGCCCCCCAGGGGAACACTGTCCCCCCCAGACTTCTGTCCCAGGGAAACGGGAAACACCGGACATGGCACATTGCACACGTGCGGAATTTCCTGGGTTTCTTACTGGATGGAGCCTGCAAATACCCAACTGTCCCCTCTGCTGTGCTCCTCCCTCCCCCGCCCCCCAGGGGAACACTGTCCCCCCCAGACTTCTGTCCCAGGGAAACGGGAAACACCGGACATGGCACATTGCACACGTGCGGAATTTCCTGGGTTTCTTACTGGATGGAGCCTGCAAATACCCAACTGTCCGGGTGGAAACTGGGCACCTGGCAACGGGGCAGCGACGGAGGGCGGGGAGGAGGATTCCTGAGTCTCCTGGGGGTGATGTGTCTGGGGGTCCCTGTCAGAGGGTCCCTGGGGGCTCAGAGCCTTGGGACTGGCCCAGCCAGCACCATGAGACCCTGGGCATCAGCCACCCCATGCCCCTGGAGTCTGGGGGAGGGGAATTTAAGCTCTTTGCTCCTCCCCGCCCTGCCCCACTCTGCTCTGGGGCCTGGAGGAGGGGAATTCAGGCTCCCAGTCCCACTCTGCAGCTGGGTTCAACCTCATTTCATTTGTGGATCCTGGGGAAGTCTCAGGCCTGTGGACACAGTTGCCTTTGGTGTAAGTGTGAGGCGCAAACACACGCAGCAGAATGCAGAGCATGGGGCACGTGCTGGGCCTGGCGCTTGGTGCGGCCTGAGAGAGGAGCTGGCCTGGGGGCTGCTGTGGAACTGACACCCCCCCGGGTTGGGCCTGCCAGGGGGCGTTCCTGAGCTTGGGACGGTCGGAGAAGCAGATCGACTCTTCTGGGCACGTTCCCTTCCTAGTTCATGGACCCCTTGGATATAGTCTGTGGAGCGCTGCTAGAAAACCGCTGCTCTGGGGCCCTGGGCAAGGGACACGCAGACTCTGCCCCATCCCAGCCTTGCCCCAGTTGGCCTTATGCCCTGCCCGAGGCCTCAGATGCTGCTGCTGAGCCTGATCCCCGTGGGTCCCAACCAGTCCCCACCTGCCTGCAGCCCCCACACCTCAGCGCTCAGACACCCGGCCAATGAGACCCCCCACGTGGCCCCTGCTCCTGGGGACATTGGGGATGTAAAAGTGTAACTGTGTAAACGGGGAACCAAGGAGCCTGGGCCCATTAACGTTTACGGTCACACGGGGGTCCCCACGCTCACTGGCTCCTGGGGAGCCTCCCGCTGAAACTGTAGTTACTTAATTACACACTGTAACATCCCCACTAGAGACCTTGCCCCTGAGTCCCCAGCCCCCCCTGCTCCCCAGACACCCTGCTCCAGGCCCCCCAGTGTCACTGACCCCAACTGTCCCCCAGTGGCGTAGAACAAACTTGTCAGCACAGTAACCGGGAACATGCAGTAAATGCCTTCTTGGGAAAGGGGAGCCCAGAACCTGGCCCTCCCCTCTGTGCCCCGAGTCCTCTCAGACCCCCAGCTGCCTGGTCCCAGCCCCTCCCCCAGGAATATCTCTGCCCTTTGTCCTGCTTCCTGGGCAAAAGGTGGCACCTGGTCACATCCCCTCCTGGGTCAGGTGACGAAGGCATCGGCCATTGTTTACATGCAGGCAGATGGGCAGCCTCTCTGTGGCAGTCACACCCAAAATTCCCATCACCTCTGGGCTTTGTCTCAGTTGGGCTGGTTTGAGCAGGCCAGTGCTGGGGGCCGTGGGAGCAGCCAGAGGGAGGAGGCTGGGGGCAAACAGGGCCATTAGCAGTGGCTCTCAGGGTGCCATTTCTGACAGCTCCCCCCACCCCAGCATGGAGCTCACATCTTGTGAGGAACCCCCCGAGCTGGGGCTGTGGGTCCTTTCCACCCCCTCCCTCTCTGCCCTCCAGAGCCACCCAAGTTCGAAGTGACCCTCCAGCTGCCCCCCGTGGTGACGGTGCTGGACAAGGCGCTCCACCTGCGGGTGTGTGGCCGGTGAGTGCGAACCCAGCCCTGCCGGGCCAGTAAAGGGGGGCTGGTTCCCCTGGACCTGACTCCCCTCCCCTTCACTCCTTTGTCAGGGTGTGACATGTCCCTGCCCCCCTTCCCTGCCTCTGTCTCTGTCCGGGGGAGGGGTCACCCTGCCACCCAAACCACCAGACACCCCAGCAAGGGACCCTCTCCCACTTCCCCTTTCTCTTCCCTCTGCTGCACAGATACACCGACGGGAAGCCCGTGCTGGGGAGAGTCCAGGCCACCCTGTGTCGGCTCAGAGAGAAGACGCGCCGGAGCGTGTGTGTACATCTCACGGGCCAGGTGAGTGCGACTGAAGGCGCCAGGGTGGGGCTCTGTGACTTACTGTGAGAATCATGAACATTCCTCTGGGATCCCTCATCCTCCCTTTGCAGCCTGGGGCCTGATCCGGCTCTCATCTGCCCTGGGGGTAAAATGGGAGGGGCCCAGGGTTGACAATGGAGAGACCCTGCTGTAAGGCTTCTTCAGGCGATGTCCCCGTGGGTGCTCCACTGTGGGTGTTGGGTCGTCCCGGTGCCGCAGGTCGGAGCTTTTCTAGCCGTTGTCGGTTGAGCATGCGCGCAAGGCGCCTCATGCCATTTGTGTGTTGGCACTTTAAACACGGCCCAACCCCCCCTTCAGTCCCTCGCTTACCCCCTCGGTCTCGGACAGAGCTCGTCTTTCACCTCAGGCGCTCATCCTCCTCACGTAGGTCGTTAGCTTAGTTTCGTAGTTTTCTTAGTTAATTGCTTAGTTGGTCTTTCTTCTTGTTCTGGTTACTTGCTTAAAAAAACCAAAAAAGGACTAAAAAGGGTTTTTCAGTTGTGGAGGGAGCTGCGGGACAGCGGCGGCACCCTGACCGAACGCCAACTCGCTTGACTAATCTCAGCCCTTCCCTGCCACTTTTCTTTCCCTCATTTAAAAAAAAAAAAGTCTGAGAAGAAGCCGAGGGGGCCAGTCCAGAAAATGAAGCACTGGGCCCCCCATTAATGATGCCCATGTGAGGCTCACTGGGGTTCAGAAAATGCAACACATGTCAGGGCCCCAGGTCTATTTGGCTGGCCACTCGGCAGGTATTCCTTGTCTTGGAGAAGCTCACGGCCCCCAACAATGTGAACATGCTGCAGCCTCAGGACTAGGGCCCGGGATGAGAGGGAGCTTCGGCTCTGCGTGACCCTCTTTGAAAAGGCTACGCAGCCCACTGGCAAATCACAGCCATCTAGACTCCTGTGGAGGCTGCTGACAAGAGGGCTGTGTCCTCCTTGCTGAGACATCACTCAGAGAGCCTCCCCCACAAGATCTCTTCCCCCGACCCGTCACCCAGGGTGAGCAAGGGAGATACGCTGGGCACCTCTGGTACCGTGGCGCTGAGACCATCTAGCAGTGCCGCTTCTGCAACTGCTTGCACCACTTTGGTGCTGACCCAGTCTCCTCAGCACTGGAAGGTGCCTCTCAGAAACTCTGGCACCAGCGCCCACGAGATCACAAGACCTGACACTGGCGGAGGTGTTGGCACCGGTACCCAAGCAGCTGCACTGAAAATTGTTGGTGCCGCCTTCTACTGCATCAGCACCAACTTCAGTGACGTGGGCACCGACAGAACACCTTCCGAACGACAAACGCGCGGCACTGCTGAGACCCGACTGGGAATCCTTAGCACTGGGGAGACAGGACAGCCTCCATTCTTCCCTCCCGCCCTCTAGGGAACTCTCCCTGGAACCGTTTTCACCCTGCGCTTCTGTGAGATTCTGTGAGATCTCCGGTGTTCTCTGTGCGCACGTCACTCGGAGAGGAGACTCAGAGAAGTCTCTTACGACAAACGCGCGGCACTGCTGAGACCCGACTGGGAATCCTTAGCACTGGGGAGACAGGACAGCCTCCATTCTTCCCTCCCGCCCTCTAGGGAACTCTCCCTGGAACCGTTTTCACCCTGCGCTTCTGTGAGATTCTGTGAGATCTCCGGTGTTCTCTGTGCGCACGTCACTCGGAGAGGAGACTCAGAGAAGTCTCTTTTCTGAGACCCGACTGGGAATCCTTAGCACTGGGGAGACAGGACAGCCTCCATTCTTCCCTCCCGCCCTCTAGGGAACTCTCCCTGGAACCGTTTTCACCCTGCGCTTCTGTGAGATTCTGTGAGATCTCCGGTGTTCTCTGTGCGCACGTCACTCGGAGAGGAGACTCAGAGAAGTGTCTTTTCCTCGCGACGCTCCTCCCGCACTATTATCATCACAGTCCTCCTCACTGCTGTTATTCTCATCGCAACAGACCAGAGAATACATGTCCCACCGATGACTCGAAACATTTTCCAAGAATTTTTTAACAGGGTGGCTGTGACTCCGCCCCTGCCCCCGGACAGGCCCCACCTCCCCAGCGCTGCTGCGCATGCTCCCTCCGTGCACCGGGAGGTTTAAAGGGGGAGAGAAAGTGGCAGAGCCTCCTGGCCAGCTGTGAGGACGTGAGGTTTGCAGCCCCCACCGCGACCCCACACACCGGGGCTGACCTTGGCTCCCAGCTCTTGGCTCCAGGAGTGGTTCTCACAGGGTTTAAAACTGCCCTTGCCACCTGAAAGGGCTTGGGGTGGGGGACGGAGTCCTGAGCTGTTGTCCCTCCCACTAGGGCCCTGGGCCAGGACCCACTGCAACGGGTGGGCCCGGGTCCCCCTAACAACCCAGGCTGAAGCCCAAAGCATCTGGCCACATCACTGACAGTTGTGGGGGAAATAAACAGACTGTAGGGATCCTCATTGGGGCCTCTGGGACCCTTCTGAAGGTAAGAGGGGTGAACTGGAGCTTGGGTGGTGGAGACTGTCACGAGACACCCGGGGAGGCGTGGGCACCAGAGGGGACATTGGTTTCCCAATCTCAGGACCGGCCCCCCCTAGGGCTAGAATAAAAGGAGGGGCCCAAGGAGGCTGCATAACCCCGAGGCCGGGGCTTGGCCCTGGGAGCCCCTCCTGACAGTGGCCTTGAGCCAAGAGATCCAGTTCCAGGAGGTGGATGAAGAACAACACGGCCTCCTGAGCAGTATCAGTCCTGCCTCTCGGGGACAGATCGCGCTGCCCATTATGGGGGTATCGGACGAGACACGGCGAACCCCAGCTTCCACCCAACCCACGAACAAAGGAGTTGACAGGAGTATTTTGTCTTCTGGCTCAGTCATTCGCTGAAGCACACGGCCAGGCCAGCAGGCAGGCTGGCTGGGAAACATTTTAAGCTCTGGAAGCCTTAGCTCTGCAGGCAGGCACGCTGGTTTGGCTGCTGGCTGATAAGTCTCCTGGCCACAGCCTGCCTCTGACACCCTTGCCCCCCCCTCAACATATCCAAACCCTCTGTCCCCTCTTGCACCCGTACCCCCTCCCAGATCTGCCACCCCAATCCCCTACTACGCTAGGTCACATTGGCCATTGATCACCCTGCCCATCATGGGGGTATCAGACGAGAAACGGTGAACCCCAGCTTCCACCCAACCCACATGCAAAGGAGTTGGCAGGAGTATTTTGTCTTCTGGCTCAGTCATTCGCTGAAGCACACGGCCAGGCCAGCAGGCAGGCTGGCTGGGAAACATTTTAAGCTCTGAAAACCTTAGTTCTGCAGGCAGGCACGCTGGTTTGGCTGCTGGCTGATAAGTCTCCTGGCCACAGCCTGCCTCTGACACCCCAGCCCCTCCTGCCCCAACCCTTTGCCCCCCACTCAACATATCCAAACCCTCTGTCCCCTTCTTGCACCCGTACCCCCTCCCAGATCTGCCACCCCAATCTCCTGCCCAGATCACAATCCCCTTCGACCCTGAGTCACGTCCCAAACCCCTGCACTCCAGTCCCCTGCCCTCGGTCACAATCGCCAACCATGACTTTGAGAAGTGTTACAAACTAGCTGAGTGAACGGAACATTTCTCAGACTCCAGGAGGCCCGTACTCAGATCGGTCGTCCACGAGGGCCACGCCATTGTCCGTACCGCTTTACAGGCCTCACTTGACGTGGCTGACACGGCAGCGAGGCCGACAGCTCCAGTGGTCATGAGGTCCAGGGCTTCGTGGCTTCAAGCAGTGGGAGCGCCCAGGGAGTTGCAGTCTAAGGCAGATAAACAGAAGCTCTTCGCAGCCAAGATGGTCGATTTCCTACATAGCAGCAAGGACTCCCTAGCTCTAGGCATGTGTGCACCACTGTATCGACAGGAGCGCTATACCCCTTAGAACAGGAACAAGGACAATTATTACAACCAGCACAGCAAGGGTCATATGACTACAACGGACCCAGACAACGGCCTCAGAAGACGCGCCCACCCCAATCCCATTTCTCAGGCTCCCAGGCTGCAAAGCAGCAGATTTGAACCTTTGGTCGAGGGTCTGCCTGAGCTCCCCATGCATCCAGTGCCAGCAGGCCAGTGCCATCTTTTCGCCTACCGACTATGTCCCTTTCCCCCCCACTGGAACTCCATAACATCGGACCGGGGGTGCTAGAAATCATTCATACGGATACACCGTTCCTTTCACTTCACTTCCCCTGACGCCCCTCCCCCGTCCCTCTTCAGGGACTAGGGAAGTTAAATATCGGTTAATTGAATAGTCGAGTAACCTCATGAATTCTTATCGGTTACTCGACTATTCTATAGTCCCCGGGGGCAGGGCCGGCAGCCAGTGCGCTCTGGCCCCACTCCCAAGGAGCCCCCTGCCACTCTGAGCTGCTGTCTCTAGTACAGAGGCAGCAGTGCAGGGAGCCAGTTAAAAACCCAGCTCCTCTCGCAGACTGGCTGCCTGGCACCCTGTGCTGCTGCCTCTGATAAAGAAGCTGCAGTGCAGGGTAACAGCAGCCCCCAGTGTGGGGGTGGGGTCTGAGCTCCTGGACCTGGAGGGATCTGGAAATAAGCTGGGCTGCCTGCCTGGCCCCTAATACACTTTAACTGCAGTTTGTAGGATCTGCTTAACAGCCGGGTAAGACACGATTTTAATGCAATTTAGATGCAATGTGAGTATGTGACTTCGCTTTCCAGCTAATGGCTGCTGCTCTTCAGTCTAGCTGCAGAGGAAGGCGTTAGGCCTTCCGTTATGGCTACAGGCCTTCTAACTTGGCTATACTATATTGTTACAGTCCCAAGTGCAGGACTCTCTGCTTGTCCTTGTTGAACCTCATTAGATTTTTTTTGGCCCAATCCTCCAATTTTTCTAGGTCACTCTGGACTCTATCCCTGCCCTCCAGCGTATCTACCTCTCCCCCTAGCTTAGTGGCATCTGCAGACTTGCCGAGGTGCAATCCATCCCCTCATCCAGGTCATTAATAAAGATGTTGAACAAAACTGGCCCTAGA